TCCCACTCGCCCATTTCACTCTCACTTCTTCATTCTTCTTCTTCTTCTTCTTCTTCTTCTCCTCAAATTTAAACATTTTTGTTTTTGGTCCGACTAAACATTTTTGTTTAATTTCATAATCATGGCACTTGAGACTCTCCTTTTCAAGGTGAAGACAGCAATCTCCCACCGTTTCGACGCCGTACGGACCTCCACCCACCACCTGCACCACCCACTCAAACCGGTAAGAAAATCAAACGTCGGGGTCTTGGCCTTCGAGATCGCCGGCCTCATGTCGAAGCTCATCCACCTCTGGCAGGCACTGTCAGACAAGAACATGATCCGCCTCCACAACGAGTCCATCTCCCTCGAAGGTGTCCGAAAGATCGTCTCAAACGACGACGCTTTCCTCCTCGCTCTCGCCTGCGCCGAGCTCGTTGAGAATCTCCGCCTCCTCGCCAACTCAATCTCCCGACTCAGCACCCAATGCGAGGACTCCCACCTCCACTCCTTCGACCGCCTTTTCCTTGAGTTCGCCAACTCCGGCCGCGATCCGTACAATTGGGTGCTCGGATTTAAAGAGATGGACACCAAAAACGTCAAGAAGTTGGAGAGGTATGTGACGATCACGTCCACTCTCCACAGAGAGATGGACGAGCTCACCGCTCTCGAAAGCGCGCTGGGCAAAGCGTGGAAGTACAACGAGTACGAGACTAATCATTCTGCGCCGATGACGAGTAGTACTAAAGAGCAAAAGATCGTCGATCTTCAGCAGAAGATCGTGTGGCAGAGAAATGAGGTGAAGTATTTGAAGGGCAGATCATTGTGGAGCCGAAGCTTCGACACGGTCATTTGGGTTATGGCGAGGTCGATTTTCACAGTTCTTGCTAGGACAAAGCTCGTTTTCGGCATTGGACAATGCCCGCCATCGTCGTTGCCTCGGAGCCTCTCGGCTTCGGCGACTGTCCATCCGTCCAACCAAACTGCGTGCCATTTTGTATCTGGCCCATTGAGATCCCCAAAGCTTGATAAGGAAGATAACATAAATTCTCTATACAAGACGTCTGTTGCAAGTACTACACATCAAGACAATAAAAATTCTCTATGCAGGATGTTTGTTGATATGAAAGACAGTGCGGAAGACGTTGGGTTTTTCGAGTCCAACTCGAAGTTCCTGAAGCCACCATCAAGCACATTAGGCGCGGCGGCGCTGTCACTACACTATGCCAACTTGATCATAGTGATGGAGAAGATGATCAAATTCCCACAAATGGTTGGCGTCGACGCGAGGGACGATCTCTACTCAATGCTACCGAGCAGCGTAAGGTCTTCACTACGTGCCCGGTTGAGAGGTGTCGGGTTTTGCGCAAGTGATCCGGTGCTAGCTGGCGAGTGGAGGGAGGCCTTGGGGAGGATCCTAGGGTGGTTGGCGCCGTTGGCGCACAATATGATAAAGTGGCAAAGCGAGAGGAGCTTTGAGCAACAAAACATGGTGCCGAAAACAAATGTGATGCTTTTGCAAACTTTGTTTTTTGCAAACAAGGACAAGACCGAGGCTGCCATAACTGAGCTGCTTGTGGGGTTGAATTATATTTGCAGGTTTGAGAGGGAGATGACGGCTAAGGCATTGTTTGAATGCAATAACTCCATTAATGGCTTGCTCAATTTGCAGAGTTCTAGCTAGTTAGTGAAGGAGAAAGAAGAAGAATCACACTTTTTTTGTGTTTATTTTAGTTTATATATATTTTGGATTTCAATTTTGATTTCTGAAATTTTACCGTTGTTGGTTTGGATTGAGCTGCGTTTCAGATCCTCGAGGGTTCCTTTTGGTATCGAATTCTCGTTTGTATATGATGAAATAAATAGATATAAAATGTAAATGATTTGTTCTTGAGATATTTGTTTAAATCAAAGCCAGGGGATTATGAATTTTGAGATTATTGTTCATGCATGATCATGTCAGAATATTTGTTGATGCTCTGAACCAATACATATCACAAAATATAATTTCAAAATAAGGTGAATATTTTCCAGTGGACTTGTAATACATGCGTTTGCTTACGAACGATTAATTAAATAATTAAACTCGACTACATATAAATTCTATTTAAATAAAATTTTGGATGCAAAAATAAATGCTTTTATTAACATTTTTAGGTACGATCCATAGCTCGGGTACCATAAAAACAAAAAAGGATCATATATTGAGATTGGTAGTAGGTGGTGTTTTTAGTTTCTTTTAATTAGCATAGGGAATCTTCTAACACCATTTGATCATCATTATTGGCCAAGACTACGCGTTTCTTTGATTTATTTCAAATTCAATTTATTCTAACGTAGAGATTTTTCAATATGCCGGAAATACGGTTGGAACGAACTGGATCTCTGGCATAGGGAATGCGTTTCTTTGATTTATTATTCTTATAACAATACAATTGATTAAATAAAAAAATTCAACTAATGTATCATGATATTTACAGCAACGAACTGTATTTCTGGCACACTTTAAAATTTCTCATTCCAATGGTGAATACTCGGTAGTTGGTACTGAATACTTTATTAAAAAGGACTCCCACTTAAACTCCTAGCCTTTTTATTGTGACCACTTTCTTTTATTTTCCTCAGTATTCTATTAGGAAAAGTAGATATAAGTAAAAACTATGTCAACTTGGAATTTTTTCAATATGATCTCTCACTATTCAAGCACATTTTCTGCTCATAAAAAATAATTTTTTGGTATGGAATTTGTAGCTTAATAAGAGTATTCTCTATAGCATTTGCAATTTCGAGTTTGAATTTGTCTTCTCCAATATCAATTGAATAAAAAAAAAAATTTACTCTAATTTACGAAATTGTCGAAATTAATTCACCTAACTTACATTCGCAACCGCAAGACGATAAAAAAAATGAATTTATCCAATTGAATCATGTAAATCCAGGAAGGACTTCATGTGAACATGTGAGCTGAATCTCTAACTCTCGGCCAGACCCAAACACTAGAGGACTAAAAACCAAACACACAAATTCAAACAAATAGAATAAAAAAGTGTTTGATCCTCCAGCTAATGGCTTTTTGCTTATAATACATAGTGAAATTCATATAATTGCAACGATGCATTGCCCCACTTACATATATATATATGAGATTCTGACATTCATGTGATCAACATATTTGATATGTGTTAAAGCACTTCAAATTGAACCATTTGGCATTTAAAGACAACATATAGCCTATAGGGCATTTGTGTGTGTTTGTTTTGAATTAAAAAATCGAATCTTGAGATTTTTTTTTTCATTTGTACCGATACGAATCGTACTGTAGGAGGGGCGGATTAAACACATAACCTCAAGGGAAAGAAGTGTTTGATTGATATGTTCTGAGTGTTTGGAGAGTACTGAGTGTTTGATGTTCTTTTATCGGCTAAGAGACGGATTGTTTCTATGTCATTGATTCCATTATTGTGTCCTGACATGTTTTGATACACCATTGACAATATCGATATTATATCGATGGTCTGTCCGTTGTTTTATAAAAATCAGGCATCATACATAAAAAATTTCTAATAATTAAATTTCTGGTTTGATTGTAAGCCAATTAACTAATGAAATAAAATCAAAAGGAAAAGAATTATAAACTTGAAATTGAGCAACTAAACTAGACAATGATATGCCACCTAGATTAAGTTGATCACCTAAAATTCTAAACCCTCCAATCCAACTTATCACCATTGCAAAGAGGGTTTTGCTTGGTCAAAAGATCTTGTCCAGTCTTCTTGTAATCCACACAGCATGAGTGTTCTTCAGGGTACCTATGCTTCCCACAGAACACACCGCCGCAGCGGCACTCAAACCCCGTCGGTCCAACCCTTTTCTTGCAGCTCAAGCACCTCTTTTTCTCCGACGAATCCGAAGAACCTTGTGACGATTGTGAAGGCAAAGAAGAAATAACAGCTGCAGTAGCAGTGGAGTTTGAGACAATGAGGGGTTTGTCCACTGAAGCTAACCCTACCATGGCTGCAGGCTTAGCAAACTGCTCTTCCTTTAGACACTCTCTGTAGCACTTTGAGCACATGTTCATGTTTGTCACAGAGCCAAAGAAACCGCAGCCTTTTGCGCAGCGTGGAGGCTCCATGTTGATGTCTTTTCGTGACTCCATATTTGGGTTCTTGAATATCTTTTTGTTTCTTTGGCAATCACACTAGGGAAGTGGAAAATAGAACTTGAGACTTCGGACGAAGAAGTGAATGCTCTTGATCAACTAAACTAGAAGCCCTTGCGGCGTAGTTCTACTTCTTACTGGGGATTCGGGATTAAGCTTCTTAATTAATTTGGTTTTGATTATTAGTGAAGAGGTTTGGCAAGTATGTGAGTGGTTTTATATTGCCAAGGGGGCGGTCGTACTTAGTTGCGTAGGATTATGAGTGGTATGAATTTCCTTTTCTTCTTAGGATTGGTTTCTAATTTCCCTACTCTGCAAAGATTTCTAAATGTTTTGTATTTCCTTCTTTTTTCTTGTAGAAACTTTAAGTAGGGCAGAGTGCAACTTTGTTCACTCCCATTAATTATCGTCAGATTAATTTGGTTTAATTGATTTAAAACACGAAATTCAAAATTTAAAGTAATCTAACGACAAATAATGAGAAGGTCAAAGTCACTCTCACTGTAAGAGGGTGAGCAAAAACGCACTCAAGTCGGTGGGTATTTTGGGGGTTTTATTATAACCATTTGATGTTTTAAATTTTAAGGGCTACTTTTGCACGCATCATCCATGTAGTATACGTCAATGATACTATGGTGAAAATTCTTTGGACCATTATGCGCATCATTTTCAAGGGCAAGAGCGTCTTTTCAATTCAAACTTTTAGATCGAAAAACTAAAAAAAGCGACCCTAAGACAACAAGGCACTCTGCTTTGTGACGACGGTCAGGGAGAAACATCTATCATACTCAATCTTACCTTACTTTACAAAAAGGCTGATCATTCCACTTGACATTTTGGTCACAAAAGAGCTAAAATGAAATCAAGTGAACTAATCCATCAATTACTAATAAGCTCTGAATGAATACAGTAAACACAAGTGGTCGATGACGTGTACCCATTTTCCGAGATTTAAACGAGTTGAAATCAAGTAGAAAAATATAATACAAACACAGAGCAGGTGTGCCTAATCTACTCGAAGATGGTACAGTTAGCTTGAAAAATGTTAGTTGCAAATTTCTAACCCACCAGCTTCAATCCTTAAACCCCTTGGTATAAAACATGCACTGCAACACCCGAAATCGGTAGACAAGCAACTGAGTCTGATGGCAAACTCTTACAAGAAGCAGGTAAGAGAGCCACCTTCAGTTCCATTTCTATGGGAAGAAAGGCCGGGAATTGCCAAAAAAGACTGGAAACCAGAGTTTTCTTCGAGTTGTTCATTTCCGCCCCCTCCAGTCAAGTTTATAGCCTCTGTCCCGTTTGAGTGGGAAGAAAAGCCAGGAACACCGCTACCATCTTTCTCAGAACCAACAATGGAATCAGTACCTCCTCTACAGCCGCTGATGCTTCTCACTTACCCGTCACCTCCAACAAGCTCTGCCTCTCACCAACATGATCATGATGGTGAGCATGAAGATTGCAATGGCGGTGGAGAAGAAAGTATGCTTCTATTGGAGTTTGAAGCATTTGATTTTGAAACAGATGATTCATTTCGCTCAGCTCCTTCTCTGCTCGCAAACTGTCTTGTTCCCTGCGTGGCACTTTCTACTGCTATTCCAGCACATGAAACCAGAGTCACCACACTAACAGAAGAGAAGAGTGATTGGCCTGAGACGCCTTCCTCACTGGCATCAGATTCAGGCAGCAGTACTAGCAGCTATGCAACTGGAGCTTCAAGCCTGGTGGGGGCTTCGTTTTTGGAATGCCTCTTTCCACTGATTCCTGCCAATGCTGGATTCCTTGAAATAACTGGGCAATCAGACAAAACCGCTCTTGCACCAACAGAAGCAAAGGGTACATATTTTGATCGCGAAAGTAATGGCAGTGCCATTTTTAGGAGGCCGAGAACACTTGGAGAGCTGATAATGATGAGTCGAAGGAGTAATTGCAGGAGGAAAGCTGTTCAAATGAGAAAACATAATCTCTCAATGGTAAACTTCTGTTCTTACTCTTACGTTCGCTGTTGTTTTCAAAGTTTATTTGGTTTCTAAGCTACTCTGGAACAAACATGGCTGTACCAAATACTAGTTTCATATAGATTCAGAAAACGAAAGAGAATTCTACATATCAACTGTAGGTCATTCCCTTTGACAGCACCAAGATTTCATAAACTGTTACTCTTTCCTGAATGCATCAATGACAGGAGCTCATGAAGAATAAAGGTTTTGGATGCGGTATCTTTGGAACTGGAATCAAGGTGATAGAAGGGCTCTACAGCAAGAGGAGGAACTTGCCGACACTTAAACTGATGTGAAGAAAAACACCGCTTAGAGTTTACGCGAGCTATGCAGCTTGCAGTCAGTCCTCCAGATGATTTTAATTTTCACTTTTGGCTTGAGTATATAGCTGTCCAGTATGTACCAAATTTCGTATTATGCAAATACCTCAAGCGCGCTACGCTTGAATGTGTGTGTAACTTCAATATCAAATCTGTGATTATCCACAACATACCCCTCTACCAGAGTTATATCAGCTTCTACTTATAGAACAACGCCAAAAGCACCCAAAGAGCTTTAAAGCAACAAATTTGAATAAAAAACTTCAACTAACTAGAAGACTTAATTGTTTCAGTAACTTTCTGGATCCGGTCTATAACTACAGGAACATCCTCTGGAGTCAAAGTAGTAAAACAACATCTGAACCATCCTGGTTCTATGCAATGGCAGGCTGAACCAGGAGTCACATTGATCTTGGCAATGTTCAACAGCTTATCCCATAACTCGAGTTCCCCCTTCTCACCATAAGAGCGAATTAATCCACTCATATCAGCCCAACAGTATAAACCAGCACTGCTCTTTGCACACTTGATTCCTAATTGTTGTAAACCAGCCACAAATAAATCGTACAAATCTTTTATCCGCTTTTTGTTGATCTGTAGGTATTCCTGAATGAATCTTGTATCTGAGAGCATTGAAATAATAAGCCGCTGGGTCAGAGAAGAAATGGGAGAAAATCTTGTTAACTTTTTAGCTGCTGCCAACACACTCTCATTATATGAATATAAAACCCCAACCCTGAATCCCGGAATAGATAAGTCTTTCGATAGACCATATATTATGTGAACCCTGCTCTTCTCAAAATCTTCTGAGTCAACAATTTCTGCCATGCTCACGAACTCCTCACTTCCATACATAGACCCGGCAAATATTTCATCAGAGATGATATGGATGTTCTTCTCTTGGGCAAAGTCTAGAAGACTGCACAGCATTTCCCTTGAAAGCAAATTACCCACAGGATTTGAAGGGTTAGATATGAGAACTCCCTGCACTTTTACTCCTCGTTTTCTAGCTTGACTGTATGCTTGATCGAGAACAGTTATATTCAAAGTGAAGTTGTCAGTGCTGCGACAGTGAACGGGAATCAGCTCCACTCCTGTTCGCCATCTCATATCCCTGTCAAAACTGCAAGAGTGTTTTTCTAATTAACTGCCGCAGAAGATTTGTGCTAACAATTATGATATCTGCATTGACTAGGAAAATGGGTTCTAGGTTGTAGCAATACTGAGTTTCAACAAGAGAATGACAAATATTACCCGGGATAATAAGGTGTAGGAACGAGAAATGCATTTCCATGGTCTGCTAAACAGAAGCTTAATATCTCAACTGCAGGGGTTGCACCAGATGTTAACACTATTTGCGATGGGTCAAATGACACTGATCTTCCCATGATCTGAGACATGAAACTCGCCATAGCCTGCAAATCCAGAAAGAAGATTTTTGTTATCTTTTACATAAAATTTAACAACATAAGCAATCCAACACAGTTGCACTTCTTTTCAAAATCATAGAATTGAATCAAATCTCCTAACATATTCTTCAAATTCAGAACCTAGAAATGACCAAGGGCGACCCCAAGGCAACAAGGCCCCCTACTTTGTGAGTGGCTGGGGGAGTGGAACGGTTAGCCTTGCTTTGCAAAGAGGCTGTTTCCACGACTCGAACCCGTGACCTTTCAGTCACAAAGGAGCAACCTTTCCGTTGCACCAAGGCTCGCCCTCAGAACCTAGAAATGATTATAGCCACAAATATTGACAGGCCACATGCTTCACTCTCAAGAATCAACATGATAAAAGAACGATCGGCTACGAAAATTCAAAGCAATGTAGCATAGCACATTACAAATTACACAACAAAAACTACATCAAAGGAGCGATTATAAAGTATTAAAGTACCATCTCAGTAAAGTATCCAGCAATGTTTTAGAGATTAGAAACATCATACCACTTTCAGCTCAGTCATTCCATCAAACGGCTGGTACGCTGCAATCCCAATTATGCTCAAATCACCACCGTCCGTTCCCACCATCGATTTCATCAGATTCTCCGAAACCCATTTCTCAATCAAATCCAAACACAGCTGCAACCACACCCAGAAAATTAAAAAGTCGAACTCTATATAAACTCTACTCCGAAAACATAAATTACACAAAACCCAACAAAATCTCACCCTGTTCTCGGACAATCCAAGTTGAATAACCCCATCCGGATTATCCACCCTATCGTACGGGTCCTCCGAAGCCCTATCCAACCCGATATAGTACGGCGAGTCATTGGGCTTCGCAACCCAGCTCGCCCGGGAGGACATCCGGACCCGGCCCATGGACCCACGGGTGGACAAGCTGGACCGCGACAGCGTTCTGGGGAGCTCCGCCAGGTTGGAGGAGGACTGGGAGGGGGAAGGTGGATCGGGTTTGGAGGGTCGGCGTCGTTTTAGGTAGAGCTGGAGGCAGTAATAGAGAGCACATGGGATTAGAGAGCCGAGGATGAGGCCGCCTCTGCCTTGGACGACGCCTTGGAGTGGCACAATCAGTCTCATCGCGGTGACTCCGGTGGGCTTGTTTCGGGTTGGGTCGGAGTCGGTTTGGCCGGTCCAGGTCTCGAGCTGCAGTGGGAGGGTTTCGGGTTGGCCGTTGGTTGGCGTGGAGGGATTGAGTGAGATTCGAGAGCCCTGCGAGGGAAGTGTGTGTTTTGCAGTTTCGCTTCCAGAAACTTTTGGTCTGGTTATGATTGGCACCTGCCAGTTTCCATCTTTGCATCTTTTGTTGGTGCCGTGCAAACACCATCGTCGTATAATAACAAAAAGAACGAAATTTCATTCTTTTTGGGGCTAAAGATGTAATTTTGAATCAAATGTTTTTCTTATCATATTTGTAACCGTTGTCTAATAAAGACGAGATATATATGTGTGTGGACCCTACTTCTATTAAGGAGATTGAGAAATTTTTTAATGTGCTTAAAACAATAGTTGTAACATATGTCCTGATACAAATACTAGATACTATTTCGTGTTTCAAGCCCATTGAAAACTCTCTCATATCACATTGTTAATAAGCTTTTTAATTCGAATTTTTCTTTCTCACGGTATCGATAATATACCAACTTGTAATGAATCCACTCATATATATATATATGTGTGTATCTTCCCAAGTATACCAGCACTCCATAAATCATTGAACATTGAATCAGAACAAGTGGATTACACATGTCAATGGTTGAGACAAATGCTGACTCATCACATCACTTTTGTGTTTGTGTGCATCTTCCCAAGTATACCAGCACTCCATAAATTATTGAACTTTGAATCAGAACAAGTCTGCAATATGATGGATTACACATGTCAATAGTTGAGACAAACGCTGACTCATCACATCACTTTCATAGATCGGAGGCAGATTGTCTGCCCTCATATGCTTTTCTAATTTCCTCATCTTTTATGCGGTCATGATTAAGTCACGTCAATATTTTATATTGATTTTTTTTATAAAGATAATAAGACAAACAACAATAAGAATATAAAATGTTGACGTGACTTAACCGTGACCGCACAAATAGGAAGAAATGGAAATAACATCCAAACAGAAGGGCAGAGAATCTACCTCCTCATAGATTCGGTCTCCTTGCAATCTAGAAAGCCATCTGCAACCTAAGCAGAAATATTGCACCACAATTTATTCGTGCTCTCTGTTGATAGGGCGTTTAGAGCAGTTGCCAAGTTGGATTTCAAACACCTCGTCAGGATAACAATTTTTTGGTCAAGGTTGAGAGATTCCCCATTAAAAGCCCTTCAAAATCTACCTAATCTGTTGGAGCTAGTTTTGAAAATCAATGCATATGATGGTGTGCAGCTGCATCTTGAGGAATGAGGATTTCAGAAGCTGAGGCATCTGGAACTCAGGGACATGGAGGGACTAAATTCATTGATCATGGACAATGGGGTTATGCCTCTTCTCCAAGAGTTTCACATTGGACCTTCCCCACAACTGAAGGAGGTGCTCTTGTTTTCGTTGACATGCCAAAGGAGTTTGCACGACATATGGATCCAAATAATGGACTATAATATTGTATTGTTGAACATATACAAGATGTCCGCTTTAGTTACAAGTTCGGACCAAGATGGGGGTATATATGAAACTCACGCCCTACGTGATTCCAACTTTTCTTTTTGGTAGAAGATTCCAACTTGTGAAACCAAGCACGGGAATGAGATGGTCTCTTTTTGTACAGTTTTTGGTTAGAGAGGTTAAGGAGTTGTTAAGAATTGGTTGTTAGCTCTGGTATCCTAGTTTCTCTTGCAGGTTGACTGGGAGTGGCTCTTTCTCTTCTGTTTTCTTTGTGTCGTCGAGTCTAGTGATCTTTCTAGCATTTTCCTTATAAACTGGTTTTTTTTTATAAAAATTGAAAATAAAAAGGTATCTTCTTCTCAAATTCAGAATGTTCAAATGACCTAATAAAATTTCATTGAACTTTAGGCGAATAAATCAAGTTTTTACCAGAGATGAGTGTTAATCTACAATGGCTATTTTATTCAAAAAGTTTTTTAGTAGTTTAAAATCATCAAACTAACTTTTTATTTGAATGTGTTAAAATTGGTTACCAGCAGGTAATGGATTCTTAACGTGTTAACTTGAAATTCATTATTTTCGTATCATTTCGAGTTAAGTTAACAGATCGTATAAGAAATTATCAGATCTAACATTTAAAAGGAAGATTTGAAAGGCTTGATGAACGTTGGCAGGCCTACCAAATATAAAATGGTTTTGTTTGTTTGTTAATTTATAAAAACTTAAAAAGAGAGTTGGGTAGGTATTGTATTGACGCAAAGCCAGAGGCAACCTTGCTGGTTTGGTCTCACTTGTTGACCTCTATTGCTGCAACATAGCAATTTTCCTGCTCAGCTGTAAAAGAACTATGTCACTATATTGCAAAGGTGTAAAGTCTTTTATTTTTTACATACCACCTCTCCAATCACATTGTTAACCACCTTTTTAATTCGAGTTTTTCTTTCTTACTGTACCAATAAGATCGAATTAATCCGCTCGTATATCATCCCAACTCCACGGTATATAATATAGCAGCACTCCTAAAATTATTGAAAAGATGTGTGATATTTATACACCCCTTTTTACTTCTAACACACGCTTTTAATTTTCGGCCATCGGATTGGATGAATTGAAGAAGATCAAATGACAGAAATCAACAAAAGATGTGTAAGAAGTAAAAAATGATGTGTGGATAGCACACCCCTGTTGAAAATTGAATCAGAACAAGTCCGCAATATGATATGATGGATTACCTAACCAGAAATATTCCACACAGAAGTCGTCTGCAACCTAACCAGAAATATTCCACAAGGAAGTATTCATATAGAGATTTTTCTCAATCAATTATAGATACTTTTTCTGCCAGAAAAGGCAGGATACAAAATGGCAGAATCAGTTGTATGCTTTGTGATCGATAAGTTAATTTCACTACTCATCACCACAGAAGCGAAACTTTCAAGAGACGTGCGTGCTGAAGTTGGTTTTCTCAGAGATGAGCTTGAAAGCATCCGATCATTCCTCAAGGATGCAGACGCAGCAGCAGCAGCAGCAGCAGAAGGAGACATGGTGACTGACAGTGCCAAAACTTGGGTCAAACAAGTAAGGGAAGCAGCTTTTTACATTGAAGATGTCATCGATGAGTATTTGCTTCGTGTCACAAGGCACCATCAAGACCGCGGATTCGTTCGCTTTGTCCACAAAGTTGTTTGGTTTCTGAAGAAAATGAAACCACAGGATGAGATAGCCTCAAAAATAGAGGGCATGAGAGCATTGGTTAGTGAAATCAAGGCTAGACATGAAAGATATGGACTTGGTTCAATTGATCAGCAAGGTCAAAGCAGTGAAGAAATTGTTGTTTCGTGGCATGACCCTCGAGTGGCTTCCCTTTTCATCGAGGAAGCTGAAGTTGTTGGTGTGGAATCTGCCAGAGATGAGCTGATTAGTTGGTTGGTAGGAAAAGCATCAAGAGGCGAATACCGTGAAGTAATATCAGTGGTTGGCATGGGAGGACTTGGTAAGACCACTCTCGCCAAGAAAGTCTATGACAACCAAAAGGTGATCGAACACTTCGATTGCCATGCTTGGATTACAGTGTCTCAGACGTACAAGGTGGAGGATCTTCTGAGGCAGATGGTAATGCAATTCTACAAGGCCAGGAAGGAATATACCCCGGAGAGAAAAAGAATCTTTAATTAGAAAATCAAGAGAATTACTGCAGCAAAAGAGGTACATGATTGTGTTTGATGATATGGAAAGTAGATTTTTAGGAGGCGATAGAACATGCTTTACCGGATAATAAAGGCGGAAGAATAGTGATCACCACGAGGATTAAAGATGTTGCTGATTTTTGCAAAAAGTCTTCTTATGTTCATGTTTACCGTTTGCAACCTCTGCCTCCAAACAAGGCATGGGAATTGTTTTGTAGAAGGGCGTTTCAATATGAATTGGAGGTGAACTGCCCTGCAGATTTGAAAGATTTGTCTCTTGAATTCGTTAGAAAGTGCGAAGGATTGCCTTTGGCAATTGTTTCCATAGGTGGTCTGCTGTCAACAAAAGTTAAAGTTGTGTCTGAATGGCAGAAGTTATACGATAGCTTAAGTTCAGAGTTAGAAAGCAATCCCCACCTTACAAGCCTCACAAGAATTCTATCCTTCAGCTATCATCATCTACCGTATCACCTCAAATCATGTGTCTTATACTTTGGCATCTTTCCCGAGGACCACTCAATTAGTTGCGTGAGACTAGCTCGGTTGTGGATCGCTGAAGGCTTTGTGAAACCGAAGAGAGGCAAGACACTAGAAGAGGTTGCAGAGGAATACTTGACTGAACTGATACATAGAAGCCTAGTGCAAGTGTCACAGGTTTGGATCGATGGGAAAGCTAGAAGCTGTCGAGTCCATGATCTGATGCGCGAAGTGCTCCTTAGAAAAGCGGTGGATTCAAATTTCTGTCATGTGTTATCAGAAAATGAGTCAACATTAAAGCCAATAACTCGACGCCTCTTGATAGACAGCACGCCCCATGGTGCCTTGGGAATAATTGAACAATCTCGCATTCGTTCTTTATTTACTTTCAACCAAGAACAATGGCCCGAGTCTTTTCTCAGTACACTGAGTGGAAACTTTAAACTTATGAAAATATTGGATTTTGCAGATGCTCCCCTGAATCATCTTCCGAAGTATGTGGGGGATTTGTATCTCTTGAAGTACTTAAGCCTAAGGAATACAAAGGTGAAGTTGCTTCCAGAGTCCATATGTAATCTGCAAAACTTAGAAACCCTGGATTTAAAACAGTCTCTGGTATATGAAATACCAGCCAAGATCAATAAGCTTCTAAGGTTGCGACATCTTTTGGCCCATTATACTGACTCCAGCATAGATTTCAGCATGATCAGTTACGAACGAGGAGTGAAAATTCACGATGATATTGGATGCTTACAAGCTTTGCAAGAGTTATACCATGTGGAAACAAATCACGGCGGAATCAACCTAATTAA